CTCATGAGGAAAAATATTATTTTTAAAAATGTTATCAATGCCCACATATGTAGACGTATAAATATTGATGTGGACATTTCCTGCCCCTCTAGTGGATAGAAGTGAGGACTGAAGCGATGTGCTTTGGGAACACTTGCTGCGTGACTGCACTCTCAAAGCAGGAGAGCTCAGAATTTCCTCTGCTATTTCAATCCCTGAGTCTAACTGGGGGGGAGGGAGTGGAGAGAAGAAGTGGGGGGAATGATTCTAAAATATATGCCAAAAATAATGTGGTATGGTTAAACCTACACCAACATGATTATCTTGACTCTCAATTCAGTCTTAGATTTTGTTTTTGTTGCTTTTTTTATCCTGGTCCTGGAGCTTAAACCCAGGGTCTGGGTGCTGTCCCTGAGCTTTTTGTTCAAGGCCAATGCTCTACCACTTGGGCCACAGCTCCACTTCTGGCTTTTTGGTGATTAATTGGAGATAAGAATCTCCTGGGCTTTCCTGCACTGGCTGGCTATGAACTTCAATCTTCAGCTCTCAGCCTCCCAAGTAGCTAGGATTACAGGTGAGCCACCAGTGACTGGCTCAGTCCCAGGTTTGGTTGTTTCTTTCTTTCTTTGTTTTTTTTTTTAAATAAAGGAGTAATCTCTCTCTCTCTCTCTCTCTCTTTCTCTCTCTCTCTCTGTGTGTGTGTGTGTGTGTGTGTGTGTGTGTGTGTGTGTGTGCCAGTAGTGGGCCTTGAACTTAGGGCCTTGGTGTTGTCCTTTAGGTTTTTCTGCTCAAGGCTAGTACTCTACCATTTTAGCCATACTTCCAATTAAAGTAACAATCTTGTTATCAGAAAAAAAATTATCAGGCTTGCTGATAGAAATACAAGGCATTAAAACAGTAATGATAGGAGAAACTGTATTGAAAGAGATCAAGATCATGAGCTTAACCACAGAGAGAACAGACAAGTGTGGCAGAAAAGTTACCCAGAAAGGATTCAAATAGAATCTACCTTTTGTTTTTAAAAAAATCCTAGCTACTCAGGAGGCTGAGATCTGAGGACTTCAGTGGAAGCCAATCTAGGCAGAAAAGTCTATGAGACTTTTATCTCCATTTAACTAGCCAAAATCTGGAAGTAGAGGTGTGGCTCAGTGGGTAGAAACAGCCTTAAATGAAAAAAAAAAACTAAGGAACAACACACACAGGCTGGGTTCAAGACCCAGTTCCTGCAAGAAGAAGAAGAGGAGGAGGAGGAAGAAAAATAGGAGAGGAGGAAGAAGAGAGGAGGAGGTAGAAAGAGGAGGAGGAAGGAGAAAAGAAAGAAGAAGAAGAGGAGGAGGAAGAGGAGGAAGAATAGGAAAGGAGGAAAAATAGGAGAGGAGGGGAATGGAAGGAGGAGGAGAAAAGGAAAAGAGGAAGAAGAAATAAAGTCACAAAAGAATCAAAAGAAAATAAATGGCTTCTATATCCATTGCTGGCATAGCCAACAAAAAATACAATGATTTTGTAAGCCTGATTTTGTAGATTCAGGTTTAAGGTTGGAGCTAATCTAGACAGCAATACACTTCTTCAGTTCAGTTGACTTCAGCATTGGTTGGCTGGGAGGAAACTTCCCCTGGAACAGTGTGGGATGGCCACACTCCTGGGTCACCAGCTAGGACACGAGAAGCCCAGGCAAATGAGGTTTGATAAATGACCTGTCTTCACCACCATTTCAAGGGACAGGGCCGGCCAGCAGCACTTCTATCTATTTATATTTCAGCATGTTAAGCTCTATCACAGGGCCACACATGCCATCTTTACACACAGATATGAACTATTAACCCATTTACAAACTGGGTGAACTTGGCCTTTGAAGACAGTATGGGACTTCTGGAAGGTGACAGGTTCAGTGAATAATTCCTTTTTTTTTTTTAATTGTTTTATGTTTTGGTCATTTGTGGGTCTTGAACTCTGGGCCTGGGTGCTGTCCCTGAGTGCTTCAGCTCAAGGTTAGCACGCTACCACTTGATCCACAGTGCCACTTCCAGGGTTTTTTTTCCTAGTGGTTTATTGGAGATAAGAGTCTCATGGATGTTCCTTCCTGGGCTGGCTTTGAACTCTGATCCTCAGATCTCAGCCTCCTGAGTAGCTAGTATTACAGATATTAGCCACTGGTGACCGTCCAATAATGATTTTTTTGGGGGGGATCCGGTCGTAGGGCCTGAACTCTGGGCCTGGGCGCTGTCCCTCAGCTCAAGGCTAGTGCTCTACCACTTGAGCCACAGCACCACTTCTGCCTCAGGCATGCAAGGCAAGCGCTTTACCACTGAGCCAACTTCCCAGCCCCCAATAATGATTTCTGAACTCATCTTCTGTGTATGTGTTTGTCCTGGGGCTTGAACTCAGGGCCTGGGCACTGTCCCTTAGATTCTTTTGCTCAAGGCTGGTGCTCTACCAGCTTGACCCACAGCTCTACATCTGGCCTTTTGGTGGTTAGTTGGAGATAAGAGTCCTACAGATTTTCTTCCCTGGGGCTGGCTTCAACTCAATATCCTCAGATCTTAGCCTCCCTAGTAGCTAGGGTTACAAATGTGAGCTAGTGGTACTGGTAATTTCTGAATTCTTGATCTAGCCCTCTTTTCCATTTTATTGAGCAGACTCACTGTAAAGTCAAAATTACACTGATAGTTAATTTAGAAAAAAAAGATTGAAAATTTCAAAAACATCTTCCCAAATTTTAGAGATACTATATTTTTCAACTTCTGTGTCTCTCTTTGTTGTGTGTATATGTGTGTGTGTGTGTGTGTGTGTGTGTGTGTGTGTGTGTGTATACTGGGGCTTGAACTTAGGGCCTAGGAGCTGTCCCTTAGCTATTTTGCTCAAGGCTGACACCTTACCACTTGAACCACAGCTCTACTTCTGGCTTGTTGGTGGTTAAACAGAGATGAAAAGTGTCACAGAGACTTTCTAGCCCAGAATAACTTTGAGCCACGATCCTGAGATCTCAGCCTCTTGAGATACAAACTACGATTACAGAAATGAGCCATCGTAGCCCACCTGTGTCTCCTTCTAAGCAGCTTTTCCCAGTGGAAATGGACATTTTGAAACAAAGCAGCCTGATCTCGATAGCTACTCTATTCTAATGGCTATTTCTGGTGATAATAAATAAATCATTTTGAAGTTTCCATCTGAGTGTTAATAAAATGTGATACACCTGGTTATCTATTCTGTTAGCATCTGAAAAATCAAAGGGACAGGAAAAGATGCACAAAACCTTTGGCTTCAACAGTCACACTCCACTCAACACCAGACTACATGTATTGAGAGATGTGTCCTTGGTTGATTTTGTTATCATGAATATGAACATAGAAACCTAGCAACATAGCTACAGTGCCATTGTCTAGGCTGTCAATGTTTACCTAAGTCTCATTATGCAGTGCTCTACTTAACCCTGTTGAAAGATAACCCATGGCTAAGTAAGAACTGCTCCTTGTTCCTTGAAAATATCTGTTCTGGGTAAAAAGCAAAGAGATGAATAAAGATAGCAGGGCCTCTGCTGTGACTGTGTACCAATGAAAGCTGGACATAACTGTAATAGTATGCCCAGTCCAATCTCATTGGAGTCTGGTATTATTACCTTTCTTTGTTAGGTCTTCTCATTTTCCAGTGAATGGCCTAGCAAAACAAATTAACTACAGTCATGAAAGGTGTCAGTGAAGCATTCTATCTTTATGAGAATTCCACTCTGATTCTTTTGCAAATAGATGATACATAGAGACCATCAGCAACCTGATATCTTTAAAGTTAACTAATCTAATGGTTCAAAACAGAAGTTATTCTCTTAACAGATGAGCTCAGCATGAAATATGGGTTGTTTATTAGTTGCAGGCTTATAATAATAAAATGTTAGTCATGTATAACAGATAAAAAGAATTCCTAAAATTCTGTTATCATTAAGTTCATATATTCAAGGTGGAAAAAAAATTCCCAGAGAGGTGATCTATTTTTAAAATCCTGAAAGAATTTTTCCTATGGTCTTCTAAGACAGGCAAGACTACCATTCTGTTAGTATTCTGCTCACTTTTGGTCCTCAGCTCCACCCACACCTGGGCCCCCTCCCATTCCTGGAGTTCCCTCCTTACAGCTGGCCCCTCCCTCTCTCTGCCCAGACTCACCTGAATGCCCATCTACCTCACTTTCTATCCCTCAAGACCCTCCTGCTACTTGATGGGGACAGAGGCCATGTGCTCCCTCGTGGGGGAAATATGGCTCCTCTAATAAACCTTACAATAATTTTTCTCCTGTGCCTGCCTGCCTCTGCATGGTGCCCTGGGATGGATGTGTGGGATCCTCCTCTTTCACATTCCTTACCTGGAAATTGTGTCAAAAAAATCAGTCTTGACAAGATTATTGAGAATTGCACAGGAGAACATTTTTTGCAAAGAAGTCTTTATATGCCTGTAAGCTCAAATACACACATTTGTTTATTTCTAGATAGGTAGGTAGGTAGATAGGTAGACTGATAAATAGAGATGTAGCTAGATACGTAAAAAGATACATAGATGGTTAATTGATAGATACATTCCTATATGATAGATACATAGATATGTATAGATACATAAATGATACATATATATATGAATTTACATACATCAATAAAATTCATGGATGATAGGTGGATTCATAGATGATAGGTAGAAACACAGATATATAGGTACATAGATACATTGATTACATGCATACATGGAAAGATAGATCCATATGTTGATTGATGATAGTAGATAGATAGATAGATAGATAGATAGATAGATAGATAGATAGATAGATAGATAGATAGATAGACAATCTGTAAATTTCTTTCTGAGGTTTCATAGATATTCATAAAATCTCTGGTCTTATCGGTATTTATAAATTTGTTCTACTCAAAAGAAAAGTAATGACTATATCCCAAACCATCCAAATCAGAATCTTTCCAACATTATAAACGTTTCTTCTTCCATGTGAGATAGGTTTGAAAATGAGAGAAGTTAAAATTTTCTTACCATCCAAGCTGTGACAAAGTCTCCCATCCAGGTCCCTACTGCGGCTAATTTCATGAAACTCTCATTGCGGATGCCCATATAGTCTGTAATGATATACGCTCTGTGGAAACAAACAACAGGACATTGCCCAGACTCAGTGAGCGAGTCAGCCCAAACTTCCTGCTTCAGCCATCCTGAAGGACTTTTTCCCTCTGGATAAACTTTCTCCCCTTAACATTTGTCTCTCCCCACACTTGTTGATACATTTGAAAGGCAGGGAAGAGTTTGAAGATATGGGGGTGGGTTTCAAACTCCACCGAAAGGCTGGGTTGTGACTCTAGCAATTACCCTATGCATTTTACATCTAACTGCAAGAATGACAACTTCTGGGGGCTGGGAAGGTGGCTCAGTGGTAGAGCGCTTGCCTTGCATGCCTGAGGCCCTGGGTTCGATTCCTCAGCACCACATAAGCAGAAAAAGCCGGAAGTGGCACTATGGCTCAAGTGGTAGAGCGCTCGCCTTGAGCTGAAGAGCCAAGGGACAGCACCCAGGCCCAGAGTTCAGGCCCCCACAACCGGCAAAAAAAAAAAAAAGAATGACAACTTCTGAAAACTAACACAGAAATGGCTCTGTCATGACAGCATTTCATGCTCACCCAAGGCTGAGCAGAGCAAAAAACAATTCTTGAATCTCAGAACTTGAAAGGGGAGAGAAGAACTAACCAGACTCCAGTTCTGTCAAAATCAGAATTACTGAAAAAGGGGGTTGAGCTAGGCTTCAGATATAATATCACACTTGAATAGTGTTGTTTTAAGAATATTTTCTGCAGAGTCAAGCAATGTGAAATTTGGTCTGGATGTGTGTGATTGAAATTTCTACTGATATAACAATACCTGGAATATTCAATCTTATCATTTTATTTTTGTACAGCAAATTCTTGTTCGCTTCTGATACAAACAGATCAGATCCTTCACAACTCAGAGATTCATCAAAGACATGGCCAATTGTTAAGTATCCATATAAAAGGTTGCAGTGCCCTATATTAACATTTTATTTTCCCATAATTTTTGTTACTAATTATTGTTTTTCCCCTTTTACAATTTCTCTGAGAAAACTGAGAGAGATTCAGGGAACGGCCAACAGGCTCAATCAATAACACATAACTAATAAATGGTTATTAGGAGTCAGTTTTCTCTCTTTCAGTTTTTTAACCCTTGGGATTTTATTTATTTAGTTTCATTTTTTTGTCCTGGTCATGGAGCTTAAACTCAAGGCCTGGGCATTGTACGGTCCCTGAGCTCCCCCCCCCCACCCTCTCTCCCGCCAAGGCTAACACTTTGCCACTTGAGACACAGCTCCACCTTTGGCATTTTTGGTAGCTAAGTGTAGATAAGAGTCTCATGGCCTAGGCTGACTTCAAACTGTGATCCTCAGATCTTAGCCTCCTGAGTAGCTAGAATTATAGACATGAGCTTTTGACAATAGACTTTTTTTCTTACTTTATTTTAATTTTGTTCCTTTTTAAAACATGATAATACCTGTACAATTTGAAATGCTAGTTAAATTTGATTCTTCCAAATTAGTTTTACATTCAATCATGTTTGTTATCTACTAATATTATGAAAAAATGTTTGTAAGTCACTGAGAGATACAACATACCAATTCAGTCTTTCTTTCTGCAGTTATTTTAAGTGGTTTTGTTACCTCCAAAAAAGCAGATACTTAAGTTGTTTCATCTAACAACAAAAGCAAACTTAAAGTCATAAAATAGTTAATTTTCCACACATTTCGTTCACTAAAACTGTAGAAGGTCTATGTAAATATGTTGAGTTTTCACCACAAAATTGTAATACCTAATTCCATGAATTTTCATAGCAGCTAAAGACTTGTAACTATCATAACTGATTGCTTACAATGTTCATCTTAAGTACAGTGTCTCCTCCATGTAAGCATAACAAAATGTATTCTTATTACCATTTTAGGGGCATAAGATTAACTTTTAGAATTTTTGCAACTTGCTTACAGTAAGCATCTGGTAAATAGTCAACATTTAAATTCCAACTGTATTGACCCTCAAATACATACATTTAGTCATTATGCTACACTTTCTGTATTTGTGAAGATATAATAACACAGACCTACTTTGCCCCATGTATTTCGGTAGACATTGTAGATCAACACATTAATACCTTTAAAGACAGGTTATAATAAATCAACAGCAGCATGGAGAAACTTCGGCTCCTCAGAACCACCATGAATTGGGTTCTTAATCATTGTAGAATCACCAATGGAAATAGATCTTATTTGAACACTCCCAAGATATGGTGGATAACAAGGGTGACTTCATTCAGCACTACCATCATTGGACAGCTGCCAAGCACTGAATTCCATGTGTTCTAGAGTATTTGCTCCGGTAATTGCCCAGCTCTTTAAAAACATCTATTATGAAGAATATGCTCAATATCATTTTCCTACTTGTTGGGTTTGCCAATGAGTTCTAAAATACATTAGGGTAGGATAAAGATGTCAGTGTACATTCTAGTACCTCAGTATCTAAAAATATAGATGCCTGGATACACTTATAACAAATAAATGATCCAGCCAAGAATGACTAAAATTAATCTAAATAAAATACAAAACTTTCCCCCTTAAAAAATAAAAAATAGAAAGACCTTGAAAAAAATCATGCTAAATGAATTTAGTCAGGCCCAGAAAGACAAAAGATCCATTTTTCTTTCATGCAGAATCTCAAATTAATTTGTAAAGATATAAACAAACATTTTAAGGTAGTAAGCAAGTATACACAAATGTAATAACTGAATTATGGTAGATTCAGGAGAGAACTTAAATGGTGTAATTCCTTAGAAAGACTAACTCATAGTGCAACAAAATAAACACCAGGAAACAAGTAAGTACTCAAAAGGGAAAAGGGGATCAAGGAGAGGGGGAGAGAAGAGTGAAGAGAAAAAGCAGGGGAGAGTGCATGTCATAAAATTCAAAGCAAACCTACAAAAGGAAGAAAATTGAGGAAAGGGTGGAGTTGGGAGGGATGGAGGAGAATGATAAAAGAGGTAGCATTGATCAAAGCTCCTTGTATTCATAAACTGCTTTGTTGAATGGCACATCCTTTGTACAACTTCCTAAGAATAAGAATTCATCTAGATAACATTAAGAAATATCTTAAAGGCATTACAGTGCTGACATGAAGACCAGAAAGTAAAAAGATAGGGTGGTGGAAAGAATTATGCAAAGGTCAGAGTCAGTGAAAGGCTTAACTGTCATTTCTCAGAGGACATTTTCTGGCTTCACCTGAAAAGCAAGAGGATAGGAATCTGTACTAGAGAGATAATATTGGAAATTTAGGGAGGCAAAATTCAAGAGAGAAAGGAAATATCCAAACGAGACCATGACACACATGTGACTGGCCTTCCCAGACACTGAACAAATTCTGAACACAAAACTAAGTCTCACAAGAGCATTTTGTAGGTTGGCAGGAGGTCCCTGAAGTTCAAATTTTGCTACAGAGTATGGTCTGAGAAAATACGGATAGGTAGACCAAAGCACAAAGCACAGATGAATGGATCCTTGAAGAATGTAAACCATATTTTATACACGTATTTCGTGGTTCTGTTTTTTATTCTTTCTCCCTAGTAGATGAAAGAATAAGCCTTTGCTATAAAAAATAAGATACCTTCTAGATATCTAGATCCTGTATACATTTTTACACGTGGCATCTATCCACTATTCAAGAGTTACTAGGATGTCAAGAGATAAGACCATATCACTGAAAAACAAGAGAAAAAAATAACCTAAAAGAAGAAAATAAGTTCTAGGATGACAGAGTAATCTTTGGGCTATATTCTTCAGTACTCAGAATATTTGCTACATATAGTAATTGATGAGTAAACATGGGATAAACTTAGAAAATTATGGAATGATCAAATGATTCATCTATATTTCCATATATGATGTGAACATCAAACCTTAGTAACATCAAATAAAATGAGACAGAATCATTAAGAACATGTATACATAAGAAGACACTAAAAACATTACTAAATTGTTTGGTTTATTCCCTTTATTTTCTCCAACTACTTTTCTAGCTCCATGACTACAAGATAGCTGTTCTAATTCCCCTAGAATGAAATATCAGCACAAAATAACTTTTTTCTTCCCTGTGGTTACAGGCACATGGTAAGTATGACTTGTTGTAACAATGCAAAAGAGAGAGCACATAATTTATGAAAAAGCTGCTATCTTTAAAAGTGAATAGTGATACATAAAGGTTACTTGTTATTCATATTTTTTGCTGCTCTGAACAAATATCAGGAAGAGGTATAAATATGCAGACTTATCATAAAATTTTTCAACATTGCCAAAGACAGAGTATGCACATAGTTTTATCAGCAATTTTAGCCAATTTGAATATCATTCTAAAAAATGAAATTGTGAAGTTTCATATACCTAGTGTTGGGAGAAATGATTCAAATCTATGTTTTGCTAAGAGGCACTATTTAAATTTTTAATTTCAAGCTGGTAACAGGTAGCTCACACCTGTAATCCCAGCAATTTAGTAGGTGAGATATGAGGATCATGTTTCAAAAGCCAGCCCAGGCAGAAAAGTCCATAAGATTCTTGTCTCCAATAAACTACTCAGAAAAAGCCAGAAGTGGTACAGCGGTTCAAGTGGTAGAGTGGCTAGCATTGATCACAAAGAGGCCCTGAGTTCAAGCCCCAGGACAAACAAAATAAAGTAAAATTTTAGTTTGGCTTGGTATTTGGTTATTTCAAAATTTTATATATGTTGGTTTTATTTTCATTTGCATTTTAGTTGTTATTTTCACTATTTGTGGCTCTAAAAAAATCTTGCCAATACTCTAGCCTTTCAGGGTAAGTCTATCATTGATCGAGTCTTTAAAGATCCTAGGGGACGGCGCAAGATGGCGGAGGAGAAGCTGGAATCTGAACAAGCTCTCACATAGAAAGCAGTTTTAGAGTTCCAGTGAACAGTCCTAAGCCAG